TATATATCCTGGGCTGCATCAAGAGTAGCGTGACCAGCAGGTCCAAGGAGGTGATCCTGCCCCTCTGCTCTGTTCTCGTGAGACCTCACCTGGAGCATTGTGTGCAGGTCTGGTGTCCTCAACATAAAAAGGACATGGAACTGTTGGAACAAGTCCAGAGGAGGCCACGAGGATGCTCAGGGGCTGGAGCACCTCCTGTATGAAGAGAGGCTGAGAAAGTTGGGGCTGTTCAGCCTGGAGAAGAGAAGGCTGCGGGGAGACCTCAGAGCAGCTTCCAGTGTCTGAAGGGGGCCTATAGGGATGCTGGGGAGGGACTCTTCATTAGGGACTGCAGTGACAGGACAAGGGGTAACGGGTTCAAACTGAAACAGGGGAAGTTTAGATTGGATCTAAGGAGGAAATTCTTTCCTGTGAGGGTGCTGAGGCACTGGAATGGGTTGCCCAGGGAAGCTGTGAAAGCTCCATCCCTGGCAGTGTTCAAGGCCAGGTTGGACAGAGCCTTGGGTGCCATGGTTTAGTGTGAGGTGTCCCTGCCCATGACAGGGGAATTGGAACTGGATGATCTTAAGGTCCTTTCCTACCCTAACTGTTCTACAATTCTATAATCCATCATTTGGTTACCATTCTACAATGTACACATGCTGCCTCTTTCTTCTTCAATCTTGCAGTTTTATTAATAGTCACACATTTTTATATGTGCTTCCTGCTTTGATTTTGTCCCCCCGTCCATTTCCTAATCTTCATCACAAACAGGCAGTTGTGGAGCTTGCTTTAACACTTCCAAAAAAGGTTTTTACTTCCAGCCCAGAAAGCTGGAAATTGAACTCTAGTCTTGCCTACAGACTGGTGCTTCAGGAATGTGAAGGCTGAGATACCCACTAAGGATTCTTCTAATCAAGAAAAATCAGTCTAAAACTTTTCTAACCACAGTTTAAAAAGCCCAACTGCAGCAGAATACCTTTGTAGGATGAAAGGTTCTCCTTGCTCCTCTGACACATGGATCTGTCACAGTATAGCTACAGAAGAAATGCACAGGGAGGATGTTCCCGACACCTTGTTGTACATGCCTGGGGGTGCTGTTGCTCTCCCATCTCACTGTTGTGCCTTTGCTTCCCCTCAGCACACTGGAACATCTGAAGCGATGGCTGCAGCCCGATAAAGTGGCCATCAACACGGAGGAGGTGCAGTACCTCATCCCTCCGGAGCCGCAGCCGGAGAAGCAGGAGAGTGAGGAGGACCCTCCAGCTGCAGAGCAGTGAGATACACACCAGCCACACACAGAGCTCCTGCTCTGACCCTGCTGAAGTTGTACCCAGTGATAGCGATAACAGGAGAAGGGGGGAAAGTGCCAATTATCAGTCATTTAAATAAGCCCAGCACTCAAACCCCAGCTCTGGCCCTGCAGAGGCAGTGACCACCCCTTGTTACGGTCAGGAGTGGGAGGCCTGTGCCACAGTGTACACAGAACTGAAATCTTTCTTACTCTGATCTTCTGCCAGCCTGCAGCAATCGAATCATTCCAGTCTGAATTGGTTGTGATTCACCAGGAGACATATTAAACAAAAGCAAAGCAGTTGTTCAGAAGCATCAGAAAACATAATGGTCCAGAGCAGAATAGCTCAAGCCACTGAGCTGTTTTGTCTTGTACCTTTTAAATGACTCAGTTGGGCATTGTGTTTCCTTTCTTGCAAGTCCATTGTGGTGTTTCCCATAGATCTTCACTCTTTAAACCTCAGTTGGCCTGGAGCTGTGCCTGGAGGAAGACAGATACTTTTCACCTATAGGAATTTGGAACCCTAGAGGAAGCTATTGTTGCATTGAAAGTGTCATCGACATTGTTGACATTGTTGTGCCTGTTCAACATTCCTCTCTATGTAAACCCCCACCCACCACATCCCCTTTTACCAGCCAAGCTCTGTATTGCAGAACAGATTGGAAGGGGGTGGTTTTTTTCTCTTGTTGATTGTTTTGTACTTGTTCTTTATCTCCTTCAGCCTCTCCAAAAGAGGGTCAGGTGAGATTCAGTGTTAAGAAACCACAAGTGATAACCAGGGAAGCTGCCAATACCTTGTTTGCATCACAGACTTGTGTAGAATTACCTGTCTTTAAATATATTCTTCTATTTCATTGGGTTTCATCCTGTTTAACCCCGCAGGGTATTACTGTCCGCTGCTAATCAAAGACTCTGTAATCACGTACTTGTATGAGACCGGTTCTTCCCTAACCCTCGCTTTCTGTCCCGCACTAACACCGAGGCTCGGTAGAGGGAAGCAGCGCACACCTTCTGCAGCTGCAGGTCCAGCCTCGGCGGTTGGAGGGGCAGTTCTGGTGTCACACACGTTGGATTCGCACCGTGTTCCTGCCGTTTCTTTGTGACCATACATGTTTAAGAGCAGCTTCTCGGCAGTCCTGCCTCGTTTCCGGCCTCCATCCAATGTTCCCTCACTCACTGGCAGCTGCTGCACTGTTGGTTCTTCTTCAGGCCTGTGACTGCTGCGCAGGAGTTGTGCTCATCATCCTCTGTCAGAACAAACACTTGGGTGTAACACATGAGAAACAGTGACTCAGCCAACCATCAGGGACGCAAGACTTGCAAGTCTCGTGTCGTGTTGGAGGCTGGCTTTTGTCATCTTTTAATTCAGCTCTAGAATTAAGGCAGCTTTCCTATACAGATACAGTGCTGCGAGCACCTCTCCCCTCTGAGGTCAGGCTGGAGCAAAGATGCCTTGGAGCATCCACCAGCAGTGGCTGGTACAAGGAGAAGAGGGTGCAGCCTCTCTGCACATAGGCTGTTCCTCAGTCAGGTCTTGTCATCAGCAGTGACTGTGAAGATGCTTTGTGTTTATTTTGCCTGTTCCCATTAAAGAGATGAGAAAGAAATGTATTCAAAACACCTGTACTGAAACACAGTTCCTGGTCCTATAACCCAACATTTCCTCTAGAGAAGGGACCTCAGAAAGTAGCTCTCACTATTTCCCCTTTAGAAATAGCTCAGGAGTACCAGGAAAGGGTCTGGGAAAGAATTATGGTGATACAGAAAGAGCTGAGGGCTTTGAACTTGCACTGATAGACACACACAGGGCCTTTGCTGCTGGTTACACCTACCTGTCTGTGCAAGGGACAGGAGAGAGAAGCTCATCTGCCCCATGTACCTTGATTTGTCCCATAAGCCTGCTCCTCTGAGCAGGAGGATCCCTACAAGCACAGCAAAGACACCAGCTCTTTGCCCTCTGTGTGGCGGGGAGCCAGTCCTGTCACTGCACAGGGAGAACAGGCACTGTCTGCTTCCACCCGATCCAGGGACTTCCAGTAAAATCCCAATCACCAGCTCACAGACCAGGTGGGTCACAGCTTTCAAACCCATCCCTTGTGCCTGTTCAGAGACAGAAGCCCTTGTGTGGGGTGAGATGAGCTTTGGGTGTTACTTACCCACAGAGTCTGGAAGCAGCAAAGATCCGGTTAGAAAAGGCTTTTCCAGGATAACACGTGCAGAGGGAGACTCTCCCAGTGCTGCTATCAGGTTGTCCTGGCCATGGTGCAGCTGGATGTGGGGTGGACATGCCCTGTGCCAGCGACTCATTACTCTACTGTCATGTTCAGATCTATCTCCCATCTCAAATGGTCTTTTAAGAGCCTTCTGCTTCCCTTGTCTGATTGTTCTCCTGTTTAAAACCCAGAACAGCTCTCGGCCAGGCTGTGAGATGGAGACAAAGATGATTTTCTTCCTGCTGATGCTTTGGCAGGGATGAGCTCCCAGCCAGCTTCAATAACCCCAACCCACATCCACCAGGATGAGACAAAGGAGCAGCCTTTGCTCACCAAAGGTTGTAACTTTGCAGAACTTCTAGGGCTGAGCTGACAATTTCCATGGCCCTGTTGATGGTGAGTTTTGATTCCCCCTTATTTAAGTGAGCTGGGAATGAGAAGATGAAAAGATCTTGCACGTGGAATCAGTCTTCTGATTCGCATTCAGTAACCTGCAGCCCCGTTGCTGTTTCCTCCCGGTGGTGTTTGGGGCCATTCTGCTCAATTCCGTGGGGTGGGAAGCAGGGCAGGGATCCCGGCCGGGAATAGCTTTTCATGCAAAATGACACATTTATCCCCCCTCCCCATGGCGATGGGTCCCCCACTGCCAGCCCCTTGGCTGGAGCCGCTTGGCTTTGGGGACAGGCTGTACCCCATGCCTGTGCCCCACACCACGGGCCCCCGAGGGCTGACGCTCACCCCGTGGCTGGGTGTTCATCGAAACCCACCGGCCAGCAGCACCCCTCACGGCTGCCCTCACCCCCCATGGGTGCCTGCACCCCATGGGGGCTGCCCTCACCCCACGGCTGCCTTCATCCCCTCCCTGCTGGGACCCCCGACGGGGCGGCCGCTGCCGGTGCCCGGTAGCCCCGCGCGGTCCCTGCGCCCTCCCGCCCCGTTCCCCCCTTCTCTCCGAGCCTGCGGTCCCCACGTCCGCCGCCCCCGGGGCTCCCCCCGCGCACCGTGGGGCTGGGCTGTACCTGCAATAGCGAGCGCTGCGCGGGGAGCGTCCTGTGCCCGCAGGGGGGGAGCTCAGCGCCGGGAGCGGGGCAGCAAAGAACCTCCAAAACCCAGCGGCTGCCGGTGACAGCCCCGGCTCTCGGAGGCACCGAGCCCGGCCGGGCGGGTGAGCGGCGCAGCCCTCCCTCTATAACCCCTCCCCGCTAATTACAGGGAGTAATTAATTAGGGCTGCTTTGAGTCGCCGCAGGGGGACGGGTCAGGTGCTGCTGGGAGGGGAGGGGGCGTCCTGGTGGGTTTGGGGGTGATTCTCCATCTCCGTGTGCTTGCTGCTGAAACACGCTCGGCATCAGCCGCCTGCGCTGCCGGGAGCGGGTCTGGGCTGCGGGGAGCCCCGCGGGGGATCCCGAACCCAGCCGGGGAACGAGAACTGACAGGTACAGCAGCGGTGGGACGGGATGAGTCGGGGGGAACGGGGATGGTGGGAGCGGCTGGGATGAACTGGGGGGGACAGGGATGGAGAGCATCCTTCTGCCGGCAGGTCGGGGTGGACGAGGTGAGGGGGGAGATGGAAAGCAAAAGATGCTGCAGGAGTCCCTTTGTTCTGCTTCAGGCCAGCACGGCTCCAGGGGTTCTTCCCGACCCGATCCAAGCATCCCCACCCGGCTGCTTCAAGCCGGCAGCTCCGTGCCGTGCTGGTTAACCACTTCATTCCCGACCTATCCCTACGGAAGCTCCGCTGAGTCTGCCGCGGGCACCTTTGCTCTTAAAGGGTCCCACATCTCGTAAGTCAGCTGGTGCATCGGTACAGGGCAGGGCAGAAGGACCTGGGTGGACCCTGGGGACAGGTTCTTCTGCCCACAAGCACAACCGGAGCAGGCTCCTTCCCCGGTCAGGGCTGACGCTCCCATCCCTGGTTTCTAGGTGTGGAGGAGCAGTGCTGGCAGCAGGAGACCCCCATGGCTCACAGCCGCCTGCCCAACGACTCCTGGCACAACGGCTCAGCCCCTCTCTTCACCGGCCTGGACCTGCTCCTGGAGCTCAAGCCGCTCTTCATCCCGCTCTATGCCACGCTGGTGGCAGTGGCGTGCACGGGGAACCTCTTCCTCATCCTCCTCATCGCCCTCACCAAGAAGCTGCACTGCACCACCAATTTCCTCATCGGGAACCTGGCGGTGGCCGACTTCATCATGTGCCTGGCCTGCGTCCCCCTCACCGTCTCCTACGCCTTCGAGGCACGGGGATGGCTCTTTGGGATGTTCATGTGCTACTTCGTCACCCTGATGCAGGCTGCCACTGTCTTCGTGTCCGTGCTGTCCCTCACGGCCATTGCCATCGACCGGTACGTGGTGGTGGCGTACCCCATCCGCAGGAGGATCAGCCACAGGTCCTGCGTCTGCCTTGTGGCCTGCATTTGGTTGCTCTCCATCGTGGCCTCCATTCCCACCTCGCTGCACACGCACTACTTGGACCTCAACACCATCGGCCACGACATGATCATCTGTGAGGAGTTCTGGAAGCACGAAGAGCGAGCGCGGCTGCTGTACTCGTGTTTGATGCTCCTCCTGTCCTACGTGCTCCCGCTGCTGGCAGTGTCCGTTTCCTTCTGTGCCATCACCTACCACCTGCGGAGGAGGAAGGTCCCGGGCGCTGCCTACCCCTGCCAAGAGAAATGGACCAAAACGAAGCAGAAGACCTTTCGGGTGCTCACCGTGTCCGTGGTGTGCTTTGCTGTCTGCTGGCTGCCCCTCCAGGTGGTGAACTTCATCAGAGACATCGACGAGGAGTTCACCATCCTGGACAAGAGGTACATCAACGTCATCCAGGTCTCCTGCCACCTGATTGCCATGAGCTCTGCCTGCTACAACCCTTTCATCTACGCCTCCCTCCACGACAAGTTCTGGTTCCACCTCAGCAGCTGCTTCTACCGCAAGAAGAAGAGCTCCAGCCTGATGTCCTGCAGGGCTTCCCGGTTCAACACCTGCTCCACGCTGGCAGATGCTTCCACTGGGGTCTCGGAGAAGATCGCTTTGCAAACCAGATTGTCTTAACTGAAGGTCCTCGAGAGATCAGTTTTGCTTCTGGACCTGTGTGCACTGTGCTTTAGACGGGAGCAGGTTGGGTGCTGGTTGTGGTGGCATGTTGCTGCTCCCAGGTCCCTTGTGCCTGCCACAAGGCAAGGAACCGATGGGCTTCGTGGTGGAGCTGCCATTAGGAGCAGCTCAAGGATGTTTTGTTCTTTGGGAACACAAACCGGTGCAGCAACAAGCACCCCAACCAGGCAAAGGCAGCGTAATTCCAGAGTAATTCGGAGCAGGATGTACCTGCCAGCCCACATAGACATGCTGGGGCAGGAGGAGGGGTTTTCACCTGACCCAGACAGCAGGGAAGACCCGAGTGTCAGTGAAACAACAGCTCCTTGGTTCACTGCGGCAGAACAATGGGATGAGCAAGTTTCCTATGTGGCTTTTACAGCCCTTTTCCCATCTTTGGCTTGGGATAGGACACAGCCTGGATCTCACCCCTGGCTGGGATGGGGCACACAGCCTGGATCCCAGCTCCTGGCTGGGATGGGGCACACACCCTGGATCCCAGCTCCTGGCTGCGATGGGGCACACACCCTGGATCCCAGCTCCTGGCTGGGATGGGGCACACAGCCTGGATCCCAGCTCCTGGCTGGGATGGGGCACGCAGCCTGGATCCCAGCTCCTGGGTGAGATGGGGCACACAGCCTGGATCCCAGCTCCTGGCTGGGATGGGGCACACACCCTGGATCCCAGCTCCTGGCTGCGATGGGGCACACACCCTGGATCCCAGCTCCTGGCTGGGATGGGGCACACACCCTGGATCCCAGCTCCTGGCTGGGATGGGGCACACACCCTGGACCCCAGCTCCTGGCTGGGATGGGACACACACCCTGGATCCCAGCTCCTGGCTGCGATGGGGCACACACCCTGGATCCCAGCTCCTGGCTGGGATGGGGCACACAGCCTGGATCCCAGCTCCTGGGTGAGATGGGGCACACAGCCTGGACCCCAGCTCCTGGCTGGGATGGGGCACACACCCTGGACCCCAGCTCCTGGATGAGATGGGGCACACACCCTGGACCCCAGCTCCTGGCTGGGATGGGGCACACACCCTGGACCCCAGCTCCTGGATGAGATGGGGCACACACCCTGGATCCCAGCTCCTGGGTGAGATGGGGCACACAGCCTGGACCCCAGCTCCTGGATGGGATGGGGCACACAGCCTGGACCCCAGCTCCTGGCTGGGTACCACACGCAGCCAGCGCTGTACCTGCAGCACAGAGACTTCCCTATGGTTTATCTGCAGATGGGTCAGGTCTGAGCCAGACAAACACACCTGGGGTGTATTTAAACACACTTTGGAGCGCGTCCGTCTTCATTCTGTGGGATGAAGGTTGTTCCTAAGCAACGGGCAGCACTTTCTGCCTCTGGAAGAGCACCGGCTCTCCCGGTAGCCGTTAAATTGCTGCATTTCTCCTTTGAAATTGCAGCCCGTGGTGCAAGGACAATGGACACTCAGAAACGTGTTCTCCACCCAGAGCTGTGTGGAGCACGGGGGCAGCTTTCATAACACGCTTGACCTCTTGAAGGGATCTCTGTGACCAGGTCCCAGCTCCTCCAAAGTGCAATTGTCACTGCTCTTCACAGCCGAGTGGGGCTCAGAGGGATGGGGCACAGGCAAGCGAGGGGGTTGCTGGGGAAGGTGCCTCAGTCTCTGCTCCCTGAGTAATTTAAGGACGTCCATGCTTGAGCTCCCTGGGTGCAGGAGGGGATGCTGGGGATGGGCTGCTCTAACCCGGAGCTACCCATAAGGGTGGGTTTGCTTGCTGGATGCTGGTTGGTTTCTCCAGGTACCTTGTGCATCTGTGGCCCATCAGCGGGGTCTGTGCAAGCTGAACTCTGGGAGGGCAGCGTCTCCATGCACCTGGATGCCCAGCTCCACGTTAACATCCTGATTTCCCGGGATAGCCCACAGGCACCAGCACCACCATCAGCACCAAGCTGCAGGCTCACAACAGCTTCTGGCCACCCTTTGCTTCACCACCTGCTGCTGTGCTCTATGGGGTTGAGCCACCTCTCTCCCACTGCTCCTCCTGCCTGGGGACAGGACGTTAAAGCCCCAAAGCAGCTTGTCCTTGGTGCTGCATGAACACTGCCCATGGCATTGGCCATCGCTTGTGCTTTCAGGGATCAGCTCGGCATCTTCCAGTGCTGGACCCTAACAGGATCCCTAATCCGCTCTCTTTATGCCCAGGCAGGAGCTGCTGCCCACTCACCTTCCTGCTGAGACCCTTACCGTGGTCCTGGAAGGGCTCTATTACCTCCTGTGGTGCACCCAGCAGAGATGGAGACCCCTTGAATGCAAAGGGACCGGATGCTTGTGTCCTTGGAGGTACGTGTGGAGCAGGGAGCTGCTGCTTGCAGCTCTCTGCTGGCTGCTCAGGGTTGTGCTCGGGGTGAAGGCTGCGTCGCTTGACCTGGAGGAGTAACGCGGGAGGTTCAGTGCTTGTCCTTCCTTCTAATAAAGGCTTCACAAGCTCAGGCTGTGTCTGTATTGATCCACATCCACAAGCATGAACTACCCTGGAGTGGTGCTTGATCACCGGTGTCCCGGGAGGACACCGCCTTGGACGTGTTCCACTGCCACTGCTGGGGGCAGGTCCTTGGGGCCAGGGCTGGAGAAATGAGGCTTTGGCAGCTCTGGCTGGAGAGAAAAGGCCGGACAGGAGCTGTGGAATGAGGGAATGATCAGCCCCGCTCAGTGCACCCGGCCTTCTCACCACAGGTACTCTGTAGGTGTTCATCTGCCTGCTCACTGCTGCTCCCTGCCTGCTCACTGCCTGCTCACTGCTGCTCACTGCCTGCTCACTGCTGCTCACTGCTGCCTGCTGCCTGCTCCCTGCCTGCTCACTGCCTGCTCACTGCCTGCACCCTGCTGCTCGCTGCCTGCTCACTGCTGCTCACTGCCTGCACCCTGCTGCTCACTGCTGCTCACTGCCTGCACCCTGCTGCTCACTGCCTGCACCCTGCTGCTCACTGCTGCTCACTGCCTGCACCCTGCTGCTCACTGCTGCTCGCTGCTGCTCACTGCCTGCTCACTGCTGCTCACTGCCTGCTCACTGCTGCTCGCTGCCTGCACCCTGCTGCTCCCTGCCTGCTCACTGCTGCTCACTGCCTGCTCACTGCTGCTCACTGCCTGCTCACTGCTGCTCGCTGCCTGCACCCTGCTGCTCACTGCCTGCTCACTGCTGCTCACTGCCTGCACCCTGCTGCTCACTGCTGCCTGCTGCCTGCACCCTGCTGCTCACTGCCTGCTCACTGCTGCTCACTGCCTGCACCCTGCTGCTCACTGCCTGCTCACTGCTGCTCGCTGCCTGCACCCTGCTGCTCGCTGCCTGCTCACTGCTGCTCACTGCCTGCTCACTGCTGCTCGCTGCCTGCTCACTGCTGCTCACTGCCTGCTCACTGCTGCTCGCTGCCTGCTCACTGCTGCTCACTGCCTGCTCACTGCTGCTCGCTGCCTGCACACTGCTCCCTGCCTCCTCACTGCCTGCACACTGCTGCTCGCTGCCTGCACCCTGCTGCTCGCTGCCTGCACACTGCTACTCGCTGCCTGCTCACTGCTGCTCCCTGCCTGCACCCTGCTGCTCCCTGCCTGCTCACTGCTGCTCACTGCTGCTCACTGCCTGCACCCTGCCTCCTCACTGCCTGCACACTGCTCCCTGCCTCCTCACTGCCTGCACTCTGCTGCCTGCACCCCGCTACTCACTGCCTGCTCACTGCTGCCTGCTGCCTGCACCCCACTACTCACTGCCTGCTCACTGCTGCTCGCTGCCTGCTCACTGCTGCTCACTGCCTGCACCCTGCTGCTCGCTGCCTGCACACTGCTCCCTGCCTCCTCGCTGCCTGCACACTGCTGCTCACTGCCTGCACACCGCTGCTCATTGCCTGCTCACTGCTACTCACTGCCTGCACCCTGCTCACTGCCAGCTTGCTGCCTGCTCATGCTTGATGTTGTACCTTCTTCCACCTTTAGTTAGCTTGGAAAGAGGACAGGCAAAAGGGATTTAGTGGCTCAGTCCCTTTTAATCAACAGGAGAGAACCCGAGAACCAACCAGGCTGGAAAAGCCCTTCAAGCTCATCCAGCCCAACCCTTACCCCAGCACTGCCAAGGCCACCCCCAACCCATGGCACTGAGGCCTCATCTCCTCGGTGTGTGAACACTTGCAGGGACAGTGACTGCAGCCCTGCCCTGGGCAGCCTGTTCCAATGCCTGAGCACCCTCTGGGGCAGGAATTGTTCCTCAGCTCCATCTAAACCTGCCCTGGTGCAGCTTGAGGCCGTTTCCTCTTGTCCTGTGCTCCCAACCCAGCTGCAGTTGCGCTGTGGAGCACAGAGGAAGCCCCTCGTGAGGGTGAAATGGGGCAGGAAGCAGCAAAGTGCTGTTTAGGATCAATGTGCTCCAAACCAAACAGGATTCCCCTCTTCCAAAGCCACGTATCCCAGGTGAAGCCATCACTTGCCTTCAGCTCTGCTTTCACACCCACGGGCAGCGTTTCCTTGGGGAAGACGGCCCCGGGCCGGGATGGACGCATGGATTCGCCGCCAGGCTCGTGGTCCCCAGGCTCTGCAGTGCCATGGCAGCTCCTCTGCCTGTGAGCCCGTAGCGAGAACCAAGCTCAAGCAGATCAGGTTTCCTTCAGCCAAGCAATGGCTTTTCCAGGTGCATCCCATAGCCTGCAAGCAGCACAAACGGGACCCCAGCTGTGCCCCTTCAGCTGGTGCTTTCCAGCTCCTGTTTAAGCAGAGACGTGGAGCTCCCGTGCCCCTGGTCCCCCATTGAGGGGTTCGCTGTGGTTTGCCCCAGGGCTTGAAAGCTTCCTCCTGCGGGAGGGAAAATCAGGCTCCAACCCACGAGAACCCTGCGAAACGTGGGGAGGGAAATGGCTGTGAATGAACCAGAGCCATTGCTGCTGCGACAGGGGCCAGGGTGCATGGATCTGACCGTGTCGTACCCATCCCAGTGTGCTGGGTGCTTACATGGGGCTCCAACTGCCCGAATGGATCCATGCCGGGGTGCTGCGGGGCACTGCTGGGTGCTCAGGGGGCTTGGGTGCCCGGGGATGTCCCCTTGCGGGGGGGACCAGGGTGGTTTTCCCTTCCTCCTCTCCAGTTCAGCTTTTCCTGCCTCTTTCCTTGTGAAGAGCAGGGTTGGAAGCAGCCCCGGGATGGAGCACTCTGGATCCCCTCTGTGTTATCTATGGGTGCCAGGGGCCTCTGCTCCCACCTAAGCAAGCGCATCCTCACCTTGACCTGCTCCAGAGGGAACTCGGAGCACCCTCGCCTCACACACACATCACCGGGAGGTCTCCTTCAGCTCAGGTTCAGCTCAAACAATGCCCAAGAGCCTTGGCCTCAGTGGGAGCAGTTTCAATGGCAGGGAATGCCCCCGGGGTGGCACAGGGCTGCCCTATCCCCACCAAGCCCCACTGCACTCAGCCCGGCTGAGCTGCTCTGGGCAGCTGGGAGGAGGCTTCCCTCCCGCTGCAATCCCTTTTCCACCCCATTCAGCGCCATGGGAATGCGGGGGGAGGATCTTCCCCCTGTGCCCAGCCTGGCCTTGCAGCAAGCTCTGCCTGCTGCCCCCTTCTCCCAGTGCCCAGCTCTTGCCCCTTGGTCGGGGGATTCCGTTTCCCTGCTTTCCAGGTGAGCAAACGAAGAAGCTGGGATCAAGGTTTGGGCCCTGCACCCCAGAGCCGTACCAGGTCCTCCCAGCCCACCTCACCCTGGCACGAAGGAGGCTCCAGCCCCACGCGGACGTTGCGCTGCTCCTGCTGTTGTTCGGAGGCAGGAGGAAGCTTTTCCAGGCTCTGTATGGATCCTTCCCCCCCTGCTGCACAGCCCCTGATGCTGCACTGGGCGCCGTGAGCCCGGCTCTCCTCC